TGTATGGAAATAAATGATTGTTGATTGAGCATTTATACACCGAGTATTGTCCTTCCTTCAGCCCAAAGATTCAAAGAATTGGGAGATTTTAACACTCCCAAAGAACTGTTGCTCGCTGGATGTTATCTCTTTCTGATACCACGCTCTGTAAACCTTACAGATGGTTGCATAGAAAAATCCCAGCAGATTGGCTGATTCTGAAACATTAAACTTTGCCACATTTAAATCCTGAAGCTGAGTTTGAACTTCAGCCATGTCTGTGTGCCTAAATGCATCAGGTTTCTGCCGTGTGATTATATGATAAATATTGACATTAGTGAGCAACTGAACTCGCTAATGAACAGTACCTAATGAAGTGGCCAGTTCCCCTTTAGCGTCTGAGGTTGGTGCTTCAGCCCTTTTACCTCATGCAGTTCATAATTTATGTTCTCTCCTTGCTCCTCAGGTATCTCAGGCTCTCATATTATTGCGGCTCCAGTAATGCGATCTCCAAAAAATCATTACAAAGTAAGACTGATGATCAGGCTTGTGTTACGTTTGCTTTCCTTGTATTTTCCTCAGCATTAACTGATGTCTTATTCTTACCTTGGAAACAAAGGAGAAAGAAAACCAAAGGCCGGGTGCAGTGTATAACCCTCTGTCCTCCACCCATGAGTTCCTGCAGGCCTGCTCTGCTTGCTACCCTCGAGAAGGTATGGTAGGATTTGAGTGACATCAAAATGGTCCTGCTGCTTATCAGCCGGTGATGGTTTTACAGTGTGGGAAGTTTGATGCCCTGCTGTTCTCAGTGGAACTTTAAAAGAACTTGTTTTCCCCTTTAATGTTTGATGAATATGTTTTGTGTATTTGTGCACTAATTCCATCACAGGTGTAGGGATATATACTTATGTTCACAAGCCAGACCTGGTCCACAACTGTAAGAGAGACATTCTGCTATGCAGACTGAAAGCCGATCCCCCGTTAGACTGGACCAGAGTGCGACCGCTGCCCATACTGAAGGCCTTTGGTGGGCGATTTGTACTTTGCAAAGGTAAGGAGCTCAAGATCAAGGTCATGAATCTCTTCTATTTTTCATAGTTATTTACTTGTTATTGCAGATAAATACGTCTTTAATGGTAAAGTCTGAAAATGGTGACAATCATACATTTATAAGTTGTTGCCAGATAATTAACAATAAGGGACTAGTTTCCCACTTTTTCATTCATCAAGTTTAATTTCTTTTATGATTAAAAAATACAATTTAAAAACTATTTTGGGGGGATTTTATTATACCAATTCCCTTAATCGTCCGACCAGTCTATTGGAAGAGAGAAGAATATTTTAATACACATTTTATGTATTTATTTATCTTTATTTAACCCAGAAAATATGACTGTTGACTTTCAAAATTTCTGACCTGTCCTGTTCTGGCCAAGACTTGTATAAACTAGTAACACGCATACAAATACACACAGAAAAACCCCACACAAGCCACATAACATACAGTTGATTTGAAAAATGTCTAAAAACATCAAACATTTATAAACTTCATTGC